GAAACTAGGTGTTCAACTGCTGCCCTCGGAAAAGTAAAGAGAGGTGTGCCTCCCCCCTCCGAGGGGCTCTCTGAGGGGGGAGGCACACCTCTCCTTCCTGCACAAACTTAACAAAGTACCAAGGTGGTTGAAAGAGGGGAAAGGAGAGTAGAGGCAGCTGAAGCTCAGGTGGTAGAGCGAGTGAGCCGTTTTGCTTGATCTCTTGCTTCCTCTGTCTGCATGTCGATGTGTCCTTTCAGCAAGAAGCTAAATCACAAATTGCTCCAGATGAGTGTGCATGCGTCGGAGGTAAATCTGTTAAGACAAAGCAAGTGAATGTAATGTAAAACACTGCGTCAGGCTGTTCTGAAATAAATACACATGATGCTCACTGATATAATCTGAAAGAATTTGAATCCTCTTTTTTGTGGAAGCTCAAATTAACCAATAACCTGGCCGCTCTTGAATCCAAAATGTATATTTAATTTACAGTTCATAGTACAAAAGCACTTTCAGTCCATTCAGCTATAGTGTCCTTATCTGTCACCAGGCCTTAATGAAGGGTCTGGGCCTTACCACCTGTTCAGCATATTCTAGTGCTACGCAGATGTTGCTGTAGCTGCAGGGGACGCTGCTCTGAGGCCAGCATTTGTTGTCCTGTACGGTATGTGCAGCACCCGTCCAGTTTGCCCTACCTCTATAATAATAATAATATAAGTCTTCTCTGTTCTTTGTTTTAAAGTATGCACACCTGAATCTGTCCTCACCAGGACACGCAGGTGCACAGCAACCAAAAAAAACGCCTTTTTCTTTGCCCTTGTAGAACAGTATGGTGGTGGAAAGATTATAGCACGGCAGTCTTAGTTCCTCTGAGGGATTCTCAGGATCTGTCTCTTGAAATGTGTTTTGTTTATGTAACAAATTCTATAAGAAGTCCTGCAAGTATTGTTATAGTTTACTATAAACCAGCTTGATGGACAAAGACAGACTGGTTGGGATGGGTAAGGTGCCCCTTTGGGAGTGAATCTTGCAATAAGAAATGTGCGCATTGGACTCTAAGAATGTAAAATTCCCCTCGGAGCTTTTCTGCGAGGGGAATTTTACAGCCACTTTCTCTGCACCGACCATCCGTATGTGTATGAGACCACAGCTTTGTGCGCTAGGAATAGAGAAGCTTTGTGTACAAGAAATGTCAGGGGCAAAGGTATGAAAACTTTCCCTTCCTGCTGCCCCCAGTCAAAGTGAGAGACCACTGTCGAAAGGGCTGACTTGTTTTCTTCTGTGTTGACTCCTTTAGGTTTTATACAATGTATATTTATAGGAGGTTGAGCTAGAACAGAAAATAGAAGGAGAAGAGAACCATGAAGAGTTTCATTGTCTATCTGTTGTACACCTCTAGTTATAGAGCCATTGTTAGGATTGAATTTGATTTAATGTCCTGGAAATGCCTGCCCAGCTTTTAGGCCACACTGTAGGTGGATTGATTTATTGTCATCATCACTTAGCAATTTAAATAGCATCTTAAGTGAATGCTAGTAACATTAAGCTTGACAAATGACCATATGATCCTCATTTTGTTCTTTTATGAGTTACACGCTGGCACACTGGACAGGGGTGCGTTCAGTTATTTTAACACTGCAGTTTGTGGTCAAATGTGGACCTGGAGCTCTATTTTTGTTACTGACCCATATTAAATTTATCTCAGTATAATAAATATAAAAAAAATATATTTAATGTTTGCCATGACAACTCCAGATTCTAAATCCCACAACGTGGTGCCACAGTTTGTAATTATTGTTCAACTTATAGTCAAAATAAACTCTGGTCTCCAGTCAGTGGTACATGATGCGTTATGAATAACACAAAATATTTTTTTTGTTTCTGTAGCTGCTCCTTGAAGAAGAAACCTTCGAAGTGGGCAGAAAGGTGGGAATGGAAGCCCACAATTATGATTTTTTTCAAACGTCTGCGGTTCAGTTTCTCCACCATCATTTCCTCAGTGTAAAAATGGATACTCGCTGTCTGCTTCCGGTGGTCACTCTGGTCTGCTGTGCAAACATCTTTCTGCATCTTTGTGGGCTCCTTTCATTGGTGGCAACCATGCAGCAGCATCACATGGTTGGTGCTCACATGGCATCTGTCGCGTCAAAAAGGAAAAGGCCTGTCATTACAGTGTTGAGGCTGGAGATTAATCTATAGTCGGTAAATGCATCAGCACCACATCTTACAGGGAAATGAAGACGTTCTCTATTGATGCTTAATTTTTTCCCATTAGCCCCCCTGCTCCTTTTGACTCTTTTTTTTAGTCCTAAACTGTAATGCCTGTTTTATTGTGACTAATAGTGGCACTAGAAAGGCACTTACTCCGTATTTGGTGGAAAGCCAACAGAGTGGGACAAATGGAGAGACCCATTCAGTCGTTCTAAACTTTTTTAAAGACCTCTTCGCTCTGGCTTGGTGCTGACACAAAAGGAGGTATTGATGTGAGAAAAGACTGAAGCTTTGTGTTATGCCCAACAGAACTGGCTGAGGAAACCGCTCTTTCACGAACATTAATTTAAAATGCAAATGGTGGCACATCTTGTACTCAAGAATCCTACAGTAAGCCCATTTTATGTGAGCTCTGCAGTACTTGAGTGGCACACAACAAGGACATTTAAGAAATGGTGCTGTTTTTTATAGGATATTGACATGGCAAAGTTAATATATTTATTTATATATATATATATATATTCTTCTTGTTTTTTTTTTAAATTCTGTTTGTTACACACACTCTTGTCGAAAATGGGCATGCTGTTCAGTGCTCTGGTAAGCTTCTCTGAGGCCTAAAACAAAGAAAAGAAGCACACAAATGCATTAATAGCTGTGTGTGGCATGGCAGAAATGAATTTTGTGGCCTTGAATTGTCTCAGGAAGAATGTCAGTCTGGGTTTGAAAAATGTTCATGATGAGTGTATTTCCTCGTTAAAAAAAAGACACATTAAATATGGGAATGAAACCTTTTCACTGAGAATCAGAGCAGCCCTTTGTCATTTTGTTCTCTTTGCACCACCTGCTGACCTAAGTATTTACTTAAACTCTCCCCTTACCCACAAAGCCATTGTTTGTACTGGAGGGGGCTGGCTGCAACTAAATGTCATGCTAGATTGCTAAAACCATGAAACGTCTTTGTTATTTCAAACTAGAATAGATATCTAAATTTAGAGTGGGGGTAACGCTTAATGTTTTCTTGTGTGATTAGGTAGAGAGGTTGGCAGTGCTTTGCATTAACACTGAGCTCATATTCAAAATGAAAAAGCCGGTCCAGTGAAAACAAACGCAAGCCAAGAGAAAACCAAGTAGGGAAATGAAAGATTACAATGTATTTGGGTAGAAAATCCCTGGTGTTTATCGCAGCACATGCCCTTTAATAGTACACCAACAGGATCTTTCTAGAGATGAGGTGACATTCAACCCCAAAGCATCAACAAAATACAAAGTAATTGAAACATGAATGCAAATTCACTTTACACTTTTTTTGCAAGGGACATTTTTTAAGAAGTAGGATTGTTTATTTGTATTTTGGCAAACACCTCAGAGACCGTCTGGACTTTATTGTAAGGGTGAAAACGGGTTACTGCATTTTTTAGCGACCACAGTCATCACAATTATTGTTATTTTGTGTCTTTACACCTTCCGCCTGAAAGATGAATGGACACATAGATAAGATGGCAGGGGATTTACGTAGATAATGTTTTGCAATATCCTTGATAAGTTAGAGCCGTAACAGTCATTTGTGTATAAGAAAAACTGGTGTCCTTACTCACTTCTACACTTCTTTTGCAAAGTGTGTTGACACATCAGTGCATCTGTGGCACGGAAACCAAACCACATCAGATCTTTGATGTCTGTCTATGGGTTGTATATGTGAAGACAAAATACCAACAGCACTCATTAGTCCTCAGGTTACCATTTCCTGTTTAAGCACAAAATTTAATGGCTTTATTAACAGCGAGACAGTTCCTGTGAAATTTGATCCAATGTCAATAAAGGCCTGTGAAAAACAGGTTTTATTGCCCCTATTTTATTTGAAGCAGCATGATATTGGACAAGAAGTGCTTCCTATGCAAAGTTTACCACAGAGCTTTGTGCAACTTTTGCTGACACACTGAAAATCTGCCCCTATGGATTTCATGTATAGTTAGAAAATGGTCAAAGATGAACGGAAACTCGATAATGGTGACATTTCCAATGCACCAGTTTTATATGACAAATAAAAACTGCCTAATGTGTCTTCTCATCACTCATCAGCTGCATACAGTCATTTTTGTGCATAAAGGATTCTGTGCCCGCTCCTCGCAAAGTCACTCATTATCGCATGCAACAACCTGAGTTTTATGAATTGCATTCTTCAGTGTGAGATAATTTACTGTGTATTTAGATTTATGTCTCCTCCTCAGCCATCATTATCGAGTTTTATTTGCAGCTCTGAGACACGTCTGAATTAACTCAATTTTGTGTCTGTTACTCACAGATCTTACAGCAAGGTATCATACAGATGATAGATCCTCTGCTCATGCTGTTTTGCATGTGTCAAAACCCTCATGGTTGATGTGGCAGGGCTCCATATAACAGCACGAGGGTGGGGTTACCTAAATGCCCTCATTTTACTGCGGGGGGGGGTGAGAAGGGTTTAACTTCGTGGAAAGTGGTTCTATATTTGCTTCAACCATACAGTTACTCCACCCTCCACAAGTCCCACATAAAGCCACTTTAATATAAGAGTTTATGAATGCTGAACCTCTTCTCATTAGGTTTAGACTCTTTAGAAGCAGCTGTAGACCTGGGAACACTTTTTATTAAAATAGAACAACCAGCCCAAACTAACCAGATAATGAACTGTTGATATGAATGAATGTACTTTAAGTGCTCTGATGTGGCTTTGCCATGTGTGACAGCTAAGATGAGTGAGTTAACAAATGTTTGAACCACAAAGTCACTTTTTCATGTAAAAGAAAATGACTGAGACCGAAAGACTGTAAATGACTGCCTCCCTGCTTTTTCTGTAAGCGGGCGGGGTCAGGTGGACTAAAATGACTTGGACCACGTTGTATGTAAAGTTGGTAATTACTAGGTTTGGAGATTTAAATAGCCACAGCGGTAAACACACTGTGAGTCAAGGCAGCTGCCTCCAGTATCCTTCCTTCTTGGCTCCTAAGAGACAAAGTTGGTGTGCAGAAATCTTCAACATTTGATTTAGATAGAACCGGAGTAAAAAGCCAAAGATGCGTCAATTTACCATTGCAACAGAAATGTAAGAGGCTTCAGTAAGTGGTCTTTCACAGCTAAAAGTATGAAATGAATTGTGAATGTTTCTTTTTTTGTTTGTTTTTTGCACAAACAGCTCAACAAACTCTTGTATGCACATAAAGTCGTACTGTTAGTGGAGCAAATAACAGGAAGAGCTGAATGTGCCAGTATACTGAAGTGCTTGTCAGATGGTGGAATAGCTTCAGAAACCCCATCTCTCTACACCTACACAAATAATCTATGAATCTTTCAGTGTTGGTGAGTCTTCTTGTGCCCACTGTTCCTACGTCTGGTATAAATACACTGGCAACGACAAGCTGTAGTTAAAAGCAGACCCCCACTAACACTGATACTCAATTGGAAGCTTTACAAAGGTAGTGTTTATTGCAGGTGAGCTGTTTACTGTATCGACAGGCTGTCCTTGTATTTTAAACCACACGGTTATCTTTTGCATAGCTCTGCCACATCTACTTCCGTGCTCTTTGATCATTAATAAGCGATAACTGAAAAATATGACGAAATGGGGAAGTTGTGCTCATGTCAGTTGAATGTGAAACTCAGACAAAGTTAACTAAAATAACAGTTTTGCCACAGTTACGAATGCAGTATTTTCATGCCAAAAGTGAGATGTTTTACAGTTAATGTAAAAGAATTTATTGTTACAAACAAGTTGCAAAAAGAACTGTCAGGGCAGAGTATCAGGACCTCTTTTTATCACCAGCCAAGAGACTTGTGTCAACAGACAGACCTGCCGACAAACCTCACACAATACTGCAAACCAGCTGCAGTTGGAATGTTTGCATACAGTGGCAGTGTAAACATCTGTTTTTACAGAATGGGTTCTTCTGATCGCGAGGACCACTTCAAAAAACTTTTGGCCAATTACAAACATGCATGTACAGCAAACTACAGTATATGTGTGCAAGAAAAGCACCTACGGAGGGCAAACGAACCTGTGCACATTCAGAGCTGGAGTCATTATGACTCTTAGCAAAGAAGAAATAAATAAATTAACATGGGACATTACTTCTAAGTCTCATGCTTAGAAATAACAAAACATTGGTGTTTCCTCATCCTGCCATAAGCATTGCTATACAAAGCTATTTTTATTTTTTGGCTATGCATTAACATTTCGTTTCAAGTTTCTTTGGTGTAAAAGCAGCCTATGTCGCTGACTCAAGTTGCTGAAAAAAAATAACTAATGAGGGTTCCTGGACGGGTTTAAAACAGCTACTGTATCTCCCGCAGGACTTTCCTATATTTGCTAAGAACAAGCCAACGATACAGTTTGGACAGAGAAAATAGTCTGGAGTGCAAAAACAAAGATAGCGTCCTATTTTACCAAATGTAAAGTCTCTATATACACCCTTGCTACAATATTACAAAGCTGTATATTAACTTTCTGCTCAACCATTTTCTTCATCAAACTATTTTAAATATTACAAACCTTTAAATAGCACACAGAAAATATATGGCTCTCTGTATCAGGATAAATTACTCTAATATATATGTAACTTCAGAGTTTTCCTGCATCTGGGTTCAGAATTCATGTCCGTGAAAGTCTATGAAAAGTTGAACACTTTGTCCTCAATCAAACTAATAGACTTATCTGTTAGCATTTCTTCACTGCTTACAAATTTATACCCAAAAAGCTTCAGTGTTGGTCCACAAACTTTCTGTACAACCTGGGCTACTTTAAATGGTAAAGTGAACCTCCATTTCTCTACTTGTTCTGAGGAGTTTTTCTGTGTGGAGTAAACACCGCTGGCCTCCTTGGAGGCCTGTGTGTTCTTCAGGATCCAGGATTTCACTTGTGGAGTGAACGGGATTCCGGTAAACCTGTACATCTCCGTCGCCTTCCTCATGGGGAACCGAGCGATGTCCTCGTACCGCACCAGCATGTAACGCCTGCGCAACCACGGTGGCTGTCTGAGGCCGATCTCAGCCGACATCCTGATGTTGTCGCAGTTCCCTTTCAGCTTTCTCACTTCGCCATCATCAATTGGCACATCCCCATCCATGGACCACTGCTTCCAGTTCTTGTATTTGGCTGCAAAGGCCACCATGCGCGAGGCAAGCACAGCCCGAGGATCCCGAACCAGCTGAATGAACTTCACGTCAAGGCGCGGGTCCTCAGCCAGAGGACGGAGGTTCTCCAGCTGGCGCACTCTCACTGACTTGATGGCCCTGTGCTCCTTTTGGAGGCAGGACTCAGACGCCATGGTGAAGTTCAGGGGACCACAGTGTCTAGTCCTGCAGTGATAACGCTCAAAGACCCCCTTGATGAAGGGGCTGCAGACCGACTCCTCGCATAGAGAGCTGCTGGACTCTCTGCGGAATAGAGCGGGGGTGATGTGGTCCACAGGGAGGGGGTCAATGAAGCTCTCCAGCAGGGAGAAGTCACACAGTAAGAGCTGCTGGAGCACATCGCGGTAGGCCTTAACTGCCGCTGTGGCGTTGGTGCCGCCGGTCTCCAGCGTCAACATCTTCTCCACGTGCCACAGCGGCTCAAACAGGTAAAACATGTTGTCGCCCTGCTGGTTGAAAAACTCGCCCACAAACGAGGAGCCCGTCCTGGTGGTGGCTAACAGGAGGATGTGCTTCCTGCCGGTCGTCACCACCTCCTGGTGCTGGCTGTAGTCCTCCAGGCGCCGCTTCATCAGCGTGAAGGCAGAGTTCCTCTTGCCGAGTGAGGTAAAGGAACCATTGTGCTTCAGCAGTATGTGGGATAAACCACTCGGCTGCAGATGGGTCTGGGGGGTCTGCTTTAAGGTGAGCTTATCTGACACCCTGAAAGTGCGAGAGGAATCAGAAAGTTGTATTATCTTTTACTGAAAGAAGTCATAGCTGTGTTATTTAACTCGACATTTGCAGCAACTTTGTGTTGCAAAAGTTTTGTTTTTTTGTTTTTTCTTTTTTCCTTCAAGCTGGGAAGAGACAAACGCACACAAACCTGCTGGGAATCACTAACGCACTCCATTGATCACTGAAATGGACTTACCTTGAGATAATGTTGTTTTCCTTCTCAATGATAACAAGTGCCACAAAAAAGACGATGGATATTGTGTATTTGATCCTCATTCTTGGATGTAGCTGTGCCTGGATATGCTTTTACAGACTGCTTCTTAATGGGTTCTGCCAATCTTGCAAGTCTCCAGTCGCCTTCTTAAAGAGCCTTCCAGTTATTTGTATTCCCCGTTGTAGGCGATGTTTCATCCTGTAAATGAAATGAACATCAACCTGTCAGTTACACATTTTGCACATTTGAGCACGGCGGTGAGTATACCTACTTTAGTCTCAATTCATTTTGTCGAAACACATCAAGGTATTTGTTTTAACCACTCGTGGAAAATGGGAAGTTGACAGTATATTGCTGCATATGTAAAACTGCACTGTGATGCCGAGTCAGAGTAGTGGTTACAGAGAGCACTTCTCCTTCTCATGCCCTTTTCTATTTTTTATTCCTACACAGCATCACTGTACGGTGTAATGCAAAACCAACGATGGAGGCATTTACTCAGAGACAAAAATATCATATCTCAGGAGGGTAAGAATAGAAAATAGCTGAGTGTTTAAGGCTGGAATCTAAGCCAGTTCTTACAAGGAAGTCCTTGTTATCTTTAAGTGCACCAGTGCATTTCAGGAACATGCCCACCCACGCTGCAAGACAGAAGACTGGTGCACATAATGAAGCTGTATTTATGAGTCAGTCTTAGAAACAAAGAAACAATTGCAAGAGCACAAATGAAATATGAGCCAGAGACTGCAATCAAGCACAATTTTGTAATTAAACTGTAATTCCACAACTGCAAAGCTGCTTGCTTAAAAAAAACTTGTCTAGGTTAGAGTGATTATCCAACCGCCCACTGATAGTACCAGTGTGGTCCAAACTACCAGCTGCTGCTCCATGTCAACACTGGGAGATCTTTTCAACAGAGGCCCTCAGTGACATAGTACAGTAGACCATCTGGTGACGGGCTAATGGCTTGCTGTTTCCCAATAATGTGTCTTTGTGCTTCTGATTTGAGACTGAAGGGGGACACATGTCCAAACGCTGAGAGGTATAACTGCAGAGTGCTGAAATTGAAGGGGAAAGCCTGCTTGTCATGGAGACATAAATTGCAGCACTCTGAGCCTGCAGGCCGTTCAGTACTTGTGATACTCTGTAGATGGCCGACAGCGGGGAATTCAAATGAAGATAAGAGTGGATTTAATGGTGCCTATGTGTATTTGGGGATGTCTTGCACATCCCTGACAGATGATATTTTAAGATAATGGCAGCTTGGCTCAGATCCCTGACTAATCTTTGGATTTTAGCATAATCCTGCCTTACCTCGTCTGCCAGAGAAAGGGTCAATAGCACGGCAAGAATAAATGAGATCGTCTCCACCCTGAGGAATTTGGCAGTGTGTCAGTTTGATGTGTGCCCACCAAAATGCCATGTTAGGAATTTAGAATCTTATAAGTAAGCACACAGAGGGTGCACTGTACAGTCAGTCTTTTAAAATCCTGAATCAAACATCTGGGTCTGTGAAAGCATTTGTTTATTGGATCCGTCAGGTGCTACGCACAGACTCCTGAGTGTGTCTGTGATTTCTTATGGATCAGTGTTAAACGATTGCAGGTTTAGCCTCTGGGCCGACACATTAGTGAAACTGCAGCTATTAATCAGCAGAGCCAAAAGCCAACAGACCAGCCTTTTCACTCAATGACTACAGCAATAGTCGCATGTTTGACACACGAAACAAGCAGCACTGTGGAGGAAGCCTGATACACGAGCATCATTTTCTGAATTCTGATGAGCCCGAATGTCTTTTGAGTTCCAACACGTCTGGAGGTCCAGTTCTCACATCCTGTTGCAACCTCTGTCCCGGGCCAATTTTGTGCACAGAAGCCAGTCCAAATGACTGAAATCTCAACACAGGGAATGGTTGGACACTGCCTGCGAAATTCTCTGAGAGGGAATGGGACGTTTTCAGCTCCAATAGAGCACTGTTGACGTGGAACGGCGTGTAATGAAAAGGTGAACAGCTTGTGTACTGAGACACGTTTTCTCCGGGAGGAAAAAATCAGCTCTGTCTTGCACCACACTGCTGCATGCCACAACCACAAAGGTCTCTTTACACAGGGGTGACTTGAAACCTCCTTTGGGCTGAGATCGCAGAACATAAACTTGCCAGGTCACTCACACGTCACGGGGTCAGTGAGTAACCCCCTGATGTTACAAGTCCCATGGTACATGTCAGATAGTCGGTTGCACCACAGGAAACGATTCAGTCCTTTAGTGTTCATTAGTCATTTAACATTGCAGTTACAGTCACAGTTTGTAAGTAAACCACAAGAAGATCTGAGTAAATATACCGTTATAGCACAGCACGTTTGTTCTGCAGTTTATTTTCTACTGTACCTGAACAGATTAAGACAAACACCAAAAATGATTTCACCTAATGAATAAGACATTAGTGAACAATTAACTGTTCTTTCAGTGAAACAAAAGTTAATTTGACATACCTTTAGAGTTCTACAATATGTATTAAAGCAGTTTTAGTTTTCTCCATGATTTTAAATAAACCAAAGAAAGCCACATCAACAAAATAAGTGGTTTGAGGTTTTGTCATTTATATGGTAAATTAGATGTACACCAATTATCTCAGCGTATTGCATCTGCTGTGGAAAGTGAAAAAAAGAAAACACACGAGCTGACATTGTTGAATATTCACAAACCACTGAGGCATATGACACTTTTGATCATCTACTCATAACAAAACCGCCACTGCACCATTTATCATCTTGCTACAAATGCTTTTAATAGCTGCCTCTTATTTAATGTAAATCTATGTGAAGAAAAATTAAACACCACCCAGCCAAACCCACTATGTCTGAGATGTTGTCAGTGTGATTCCATTCCAATCCCTTAACAACAGGTAAAGGGATTATTTTAGATCCTCTCTTAAATACAGTAGGCGTGATAATTATAGGATGTGTGTCTCGAAATACAAAAACAACAGACTACAAAAAATGGGATGCATTGTTACTTAAGGTATTTAATTAGCCAAACACAGACATTCCCATCTGAGATGTTTCTTAATTTACTCTCCAGAAAAAGCTAAATTTACAATCACGATATAGAACACAATACAAGCCTATACTGTGATAGTGGATTATTTTCTATCTGCAGTGTTTTTATTGTAGAATGTTTATCATGACCACATATCAAAGGAAAACAAGGTAGACTGTGTTATTAGTCAGTTATACTGACATACAGGTCGGTTTTTTAGTGAGAGTTATATCATGCACCATCAAAAAGAGGTTTTGGACAGATCTTTGTTGGAGATGATCATACTAGTAGCCTATATAAGGAATGTTGCCTAAGAAATCCTGAAAAAGTAGAGCGGAGTATGCAAGCAACGGGTTTAGTTGAGGTCGTTAAAGAGTGTAGAGAGTCACACTTGTTGATAGAATATGTTGAAATGCACAGCAGTGCTTTAGCCCTGCAGCAACATGTCACTACAAATTCATAAACCGGGTGAAAGATCGGAAAACCCTGACTTCTTTCATGCAACAGTGTGAGACCATGCGCTGCATTTAAAGGTCAAAGGGACAAACCATCAAAACTGAAGTCATGCTTTCTTAATAGGAAGACACTTGAAAAGAAAAGCCACTTCATATTTTATGTCAGAGATTCACAACAATTGTATGGTGATTTTATTGTACTCAATGTTGTTTTTAGGGTGATGTTAGAGCCTAACATGTGACATTATTAGTTCATACTTTTACAAAGTAGCCTCTCAAAGTCCACTCTCCATACCCACCATCATGATGAGCTGCGGTGTCTGAAGGCTTCCCGCTTCGGTTGATCAGCCTTTCCTCAAAGAGCGACTCCGGATAGAAATTAAAGCCATTACTTCCCAACAAGACTTCACTCGTGTGACAAAAAACTATCCGATTCGAAAGAAGAAGCAGCTCGACTAGTTTTAGGAAGTAAAACCTGTGGATCAGATGGACTCATGTTTGAGGAGGCTGCCGGTCGGGCTGCTGAACCGAATGACAAGTAGGTCTAACAGTTGCGACTCAGTGCATCACATGGGGAAAGTTTGGTGTAAAGGAGCGGAGTTTCATGCAGGAGGCGCACCGCCACCACCCCTCACAGGGCATAAGTCAGTGATAATGAATAACAAACAAACTTTATACACATAGAACACACGATAAGCAATGGTAAAGGCATAATACTGTTATTATGTGCTGCTGTCATTTGGTCTATTTTATGTTTTTTGTAATTTATGATGTAGTCACAACCAACGAAGAGGCAAGCGCTCCACCTAGTGGACGAGGTGCGTCTCGATTTCTACATTGACAGCATGTGGAAATCATTCCAAAACGCTTTTCTGACTATATCGTGATTCGTGTTACATCAAATAAAAAAACAAGTAATTTACTCTACTATACCTGTGATTACTACACTTCAAGAGGAAACATAGCGTACTTTTTACTCCACTACATGTATTTGGCAGCTGTCATTTGTTGCTTTTTTTGCTGGTTTTGAATATATAACATCATATTAATTGTGTTTTTGTATGTATTTGTACTTATATGTAAAGTAGTTTAAATTACGTCTGATTGAGCACTCCTAACACATTACTGCATGATTTATAATAAAATAATGATAGTGTATAGTGAAATAATAACACAGAGGGGTTATTTGCGCATTCTGAGTACCCTTATTTTTGAGTCTTAAAGTACCATTTGTTCATAACACCTGGCTTTTTTACATTTTGATATGGTTATTTGCTTCTTGGATCTGAATACTTCTTCAACCAATGATTACAGTAATTATATTATACGATTATAAAATGCAGCCCGATTAAGAACTCCAATTCCCTACAAACCTGTCGCTTAATGATGACGCGCCTAATGGGAGAATCGTCACGAAGGTTGCAAAACAATTGCGTCAGAAAATCGCGCAGTAGTTTCTGGAAAGGTGAACGACGACCGTTTCTCTCTCTCGGTATGTAACATTATCGTTACTTTACATCTAAATGTCTTGAAGTTAGACATCATACATCAGAAAATAATTTGCTCGTGATAACAGTTAATCTATTTGGCCAGACGAAACACTGTAATACCGGAAGTTAACAAAGACTTTAACGAAAAGAGTCTCAAACGTTTAGCAGCTAGCTATGTGATGTTAGCTGACGTTAGCTAGCTTACTTAACTAACGTTGAATGTTATGATATGAAAGATAATGTCCTTAGCTGTTATTACTACATTACTTTAACGCTGTTGTCTTACCGGCTTTGTGACTGTAATCATAATTACATAATTATGTCAAACGACTGTCTGTCATTTACTGTAACGTTACCTGAAGCTCTCTTTATATTTCAGACAGGATAATATATTGTGACCATGTTGGTGGCGAGGCTGATGTGCCTGAGGAGTCTTCCTCTCTCTGGGCTGCGTCCTGTGCTGACACAGAGAGCACCCACCCTGAAGGCCTGTCCACCGCTGCTCAGGCCCCAGCAGGTACTGTAAAGTCACCACCAACAGGATGGCATTCATAGGTTTCCAACACTTCTCTAAGCTCTCTTACCACAAGAAGAATGGATAAAGACAGTAAACAATGTCTGTGTAGGAGAGAAACAGACTAAATGTGTATGTAAACGTTAGTTTGAAGCACGTCTGATGCCTCGGATTTGACTAATTGCCTCTACCAAGGCCGTGGGTAGGAGCAAAAGTTATTAGCCTCAGAGGGACCTGCAGGGTCAGAAACTGCCGCCTGATATTCAGAATGAATGGCACGGTAATGTCATTACAAAATCGGAGATGTTGGCAGCAAGTCAGTGGTCTGACAGAAAGGCTTAACAACTGCCCTGTAATTAAGGGGTCACGTATTTTAAACTCTGCAGCAGATGGCTGAAATGAAGTTCAATAAGTCGTGTACCCATACCACTCCCTGGTTGTTTTTATGTTACTGGGTGTAAAAATCCAAGTCACTTAATCTACAGTTTCGGTTTTGTGTAACATGTGTTTTTCTTTCACTAGGGTTATTCTACTAAGGCCAGATTTGGTTTCCGCCGTGGGACCAAAGAGCAGCTCAAAGAAGCAGCTTTTGAGCCAGCAACGAATACCGCTATCAGAAGTAATCACTATTACATATACTAGTTAAATGTACTATTACATGCTGTTACATAGACTGTACTGTTACATGACTGGAGTTTTATAATATCCACTCTCTTGAAAAGGTCAAGGTTGTGCCAACATACAATATACTCGCATAGTCTCAAGCTTTCTTTAATGGCTGGCTAAATAGCCAATACGCTAAATTTAAAAACAAATATTGTTGTGTCCCACAGTTGACAGCATGGGAAGAATGTTTCTGGCTGGAGGTGCAGCAGTTGGCCTTGGAGCTCTCTGCTACTATGGACTCGGCATGTCCAATGAAATCGGTGCCATTGAGAAATCAGTGTGAGTAACAGCTTTTTGTTTCCGGCAGCTTGATTTAGTTTTGAAACACAGGTCAGTAGGAAGTGTTCGTTCCCCTTCCAAGAGCTCCATATTCACCTGGCTCTCCGCTCTCTGTGCAGGATCTGGCCTCAGTATGTGAAGGACAGGATCCACTCCACCTACATGTACTTTGCAGGCAGTATTGGACTGACGGCTTTGTCGGCTGTAGCAGTGAGCAGAACCCCGGCACTGATGGGTCTGATGGTGGGAGGCTCCTGGCTGGTAAGCTATGTAACTCAAGTCGACATAGATCCTCACTGCTTAGCAACATTTATTTTAATAATGAAGGCTAATGCACCATTGAGCTGGTTTAGTAATCTCTTTATTTTTCAACATGTTTAGGTGTATGTACAGGTTATTAATATGAATGCCTGTTGTTTGTCCTATCCCAGGCTATTGGAGCAACGTTTGCGGCTATGATTGGTGCCGGCATGCTGGTTAGGTCCATTTCGTATGAGCAGAGCCCGATGCCCAAACACCTCGCTTGGATGTTCCATGCAGGTTTGTAAGACAATGTCCAGTGGGGAATGATTATTCTGTTATGATGTCTCACTTTGGCCTTGTATTTTGCTTATGTAGTTGCCTTAATTGGACACTAGAGGGAAGTCATGTAAAGGCTCAGAGCCTCAGCTCAACCACTACATTTAGACTTGTGGCGCAGATCTGTTTTTTGTTGTATGTTTTGAATGTGGTGTTGAGATGTCTTCTTGCTTTATTTATCGATAAGGTGTGATGGGTGCTGTCATCGCTCCCCTCACTCTCCTCGGAGGACCTCTGATGATGAGGGCCGCCTGGTACACAGCAGGAATTGTGGGAGGTCTGTCCACTGTGGCCATGTGTGCCCCAAGTGAGAAGTTCCTCAATATGGGCGGGCCATTGGCTGTTGGCTTCGGAGTGGTCTTCGCTTCCTCTATTGGTCAGTATATTGCAGTTTTAACCTCATAACCCCATCTCAGTACTGATTCCTAGTTTTGGGGCTTACAGTTCATATACATGTGTGTTAATTATTAAGTGCTGTGCCAGGCAGATAAACATCTCATTGGTTTTTATAGTAACCACATACATGCATATTAAAATGAGACAATCAGCTCATGAATTATTTAGGTCTGTATCATTTTTAATCTGTACTTGTTAGTCTCACAGCAAATCTTCTTGTCTTCTTCAGGATCAATGTTCCTGCCGCCCACGTCAGCGTTCGGAGCAGGCCTGTACTCAATTGCCATCTATGGAGGCCTAGTCCTGTTCAGCATGTTCCTCCTCTATGACACACAGAAGGTTGTCAAGAGGGCAGAGACACACCCACTCTATGGCGTACAGAAATATGACCCCATTAACGCGTAAGTCCCTCCAGAAAATGTTCAATTTCACTTTAAATGCAGTTTTTTTTAACAGAATACTGTTAGTTATGTACTTGCACAAAGATGCGGGTCTCATATTCTTCTCTATCACACAGGTGTATGGGGATTTACATGGACACACTGAACATCTTCATGAGACTGGTGATGATTATGTCTGGTGGTGGTGGCAAAAGGAAGTAAACGGCAGCATTTTGGCTTTAGCTTCAATCTTACCCTCACAGAGCCAAACTAAATCATATTCTATTAAGAGCAGCATACGCCAGGTGTTAATTCTTAGTGACAAGTCTCGTCTAACTTGCAAAGCAATCACGTATTTTTAACAAGAGTGTGAAGAAGAGGACTGCACTCTCTGGTGCAAAGAAGACATTGATAACATACTGAGAGCTCTTACCTTGATGGTGGAATATCTGCTTTATCCTGTGGGTTACAGAGGGGTTCAATCTGTCAGCGTCATTATGCCTGCCTCACATATCGTTTGTATTCTTTATGTTTTGTATTTATTTCAACTTTATGGTTTCTGTTTCCAATATGAATAAAAGTTCAAGAATATCTGGTACACGCAGCAGACATGCCACACACATCAACCATAGACCGGTCCAGATCATCACTGACTGCTCCTGCTCCAGTATATGTTGTTATTGCCCTTTAGTTGATGTGTTAAATCAGTGGGAACTAGTTCATATATTTCTGAGAAAATATGAAGTAATTTTATTAATTGAATCACTCAATAAATACGTTAAAAGTTTGTTTTGGCCGAAGTTGCTATTTTGAAAAATGATAATAAAAACCAGCAGAGATTTAGCAGACAGGGTTCCTGTTCTATGCCTTTTTCACAGAAGACATTTTGACAGTCGAAAGAGCCCTACTACTACTACAATTAATGGTTGCTGAATTCTATTTAGCTGCTTCGGTTTCAGGGTCCTGTTATTGTGCATGCTGCCTCACTGTCACTTCTTGCTGGGACACCTGAATAGAACAAAGTCATTGGTAATGTGTTTTTAGTTGCAGCTTTGCTTGGTGACAGGTCACCAAAAACACCTGTTATCTAAATAGTAAAAACAACACAAATGATGAGATGCATATCTGTCGTCATCTTTAGGTGAAATACATATTTGCACTCTTGGAGTTTTGGTTCTTATAATTTCTTCTTAAATCAATTATTAAATGTCATTTTTAAAGTCCGTCTATCTTCTTGGAATGCAACTTGATCATTTACATTGGAATGATAACAAATATTTATAAAATTGCATTGATCCTGGTTGAACATATTGTCTACTTGATTGCTGGCATTCGTATTATGCTAATGTTGGAAAGAATGGACTTATCCAACAATGGTATAGTCCACCCGATTTTACGGGTTGGTTCTATTGGTAGCAATCAAGTTTTAGGTCATCCACACTCTCGGCAGCTCTGACCAGACTATGAGGGACCGGCGAGGTCCACCTTGTATTTGCTTATAAACAGTCAGTGTGTAACAGCAGATGACAAAGGCTTAGTGCAGTAATCCTCTTGTCCACCATCTGGCTGCTCTAAAATTAAACCTCCAAACCAGGGCACTTGCAACAGATGCTAACATCTGTGAATATTCAGGTGCTTCATTAAAGCACGTTCACATGGCGCAAACAGCTGCCAACAGTGTTTCAATCTCTCAGATCATGTTCACGTTTAGCACACGTATGATTCATATATATATACTGTGCATCGGCAGATGGGAGGGTTAAAGAGGGCAATAATGGATGAGATTGTGGAAAGCTTCAGCATTTGGAGATCTGGCATTACTGGGGATAAAAGTTGCTCTCTGGCAGTAATTTTCAGATTGATGACCAATATTTGGTTAGGGACCAGGGATTTGCTTAATGTAGACTTTTATATGTGTGTGTGTGTGTGTGTGAGAGAGAGAGAGAGAGAGAGAGACAATAAGCAAGTGCAGTGGACATTGACAAATGGCTCAGAGTATAGTTATAATTCCCCGCCTTTAGAACTCTGGCCTCTCACTTTGTTTTGCATTACCACGCAGAGAACAATGTGTAATCAGTTAATTTCCAAAATAGATTAAATTGTCTGAACAACTATGAGATGTTGTACAATATTCATGGTCCCCAGAGGATGAATCTTACAGACTTTGGTGAGCCCCTGAATTTTACTATAGCGCCACCATGAAATCGACATTTGTGATTTTAAGTGAAATGTTTCGACAATAACTCTATGGATTGCTGGTTTGGTGCAAGCACTCATGTTACCCATAAGAAACATTTAAAATAAACTTTGACGATCCCCTGATCTGGCCTCTACCGTCATTATCAGGTCACACCTTTAATTTCCCCAAAACTTTCATTTATGACTAAATACAAACTACTGACATTCCCATCAACCTCATCTGCTCATATTTTAGTTATTTTGCTGAAAGCATATAATTTTTACACAGTTCTTTACTTATTAACAACTCTAAAACAGTTCAAAAATCTGCTGATCATGCTCAAGAAAGTTTTCGTCATCCTGCTGTTTCTTCTCTAAATAAGTAAAATAAATCGAATTAGCTCCACCTTGGTCAACTACAACGTAAAAATATGGCGTTCATGTTAATGAATCAGTAATAATATTCCGATCATAGAATATATAACTCCTAAAGGGGACGTCCTGCTTAATGTTTACTTGTACTATTAATTCATAAGAACATTTTGCTGATAATACTTTTACTTAAGTAATATTTTGAATGCAGGACGTCTTCTTGAACTTAAGCATATTATTTATTTGCATAAAACAAATATGCATATGCAGAGTTCTTCCATACATTTTCTGCCTTACATCTTTTACCAGGTTATTGTGTCTGCTCTATAAACACTGAGCAGTCCATAGATTCTGTGTTTATTTTAGTGAGAGCCGATTCGTCATCGGCTGTGAGAGCATTGAGTGTGTCATTGAGCGTCAGACCCTATTTTCATACCTGTGAAAGTAAGAAGTGCACAAGTGAGCACCTCTACGTGGTTAAGTCGATACACTTAAAACACCTCACAGAAACAGCAGGGAAATGTGTACTCGCATGACACCTGCTTATAAGCGGCTCCGAAAAAAAAGGTGCAAAACTCTTCCAAATTGTGTTAAACAATAAAAAGTACTCAGTTTTCTACTTTGGTCTTTTTTTAATCAGATCAGCTGTTTATTATTGGGTTGTATCTCTTTGAATGTGAGAGCAGCGTTTTGGTTTGACCTCCTTAAGCTGCGAGTGATTCACAGCAGGAGTTCTCATCAGACAGTGATCGTGGCAAACACCTTCTGTAACATGACAGTAAGCTGAACTCAAAATGAAAAGTATACTAGCATCTTGATTTCAAACACTCAACTGTAAAGCAGAAGCCTCAGTAAGTCTATTATGTTATAAAGCCTTTTATTTAACAGTAATCACGGATTCAGTGCCTCATGTGTGCATTTTCACATGTCTGCAGAGGTGTGATGATCACACCATATTGTGTGAAACCTGAACACCCATCCCTCCACGCACAGTTTTTCAGATCAAAATTGGAGAGGGAGTGGTGTAAGATGTCTGTGTAGGGAAGGGGATGCGTCACTGGATTAGTGCCTGGGAATCTTCCCCAGCTTCTTCCTCCTGAGCTGCTGAGACGCCACCAGAAGGGCAAGACACTCGCTGCTCGCATTCCCTCCACCAAGCCTTCCACATGAGCCAGCCAAGCCTTGCCTCCCCACCAGGATGAAGAAAGAAAAGAAAACGCATGCTTTACTGTTTGTCCTCCTGCTTCACTTCACTTTAGGTAAGGCTTTTCTTTTCTTTGTGTTCTTTGTGTGTGGTTGAGACTTCTTGTCTTGATCTTATCTGGTTAATCCTCTAACACAAAGAGGGCATGTCCATCTTAGTGTAGACTGCTCATGCTGCCTGTACTTCACATCTAAATGTGTGATAGTGTTTGTGTTGTGATCGTAGAAAGTTACATCCAAATATATTCATAATTCATTTCCATCCTCCTCCTACTCCCTGCTTTCGGTTCCTGCCCTTTTTAGCAAGTGAGTGCAACAGTTATGTCTTAATTATATAAGCATTTCCATTAGAAATAGAACAATATATAGACAAATTTATGTGGCTTTTGTGATTTTCTTTTCAGATTATACTGTATATAGGCTTGCTTCTGCTCAAATAACTTGGAGTATGTTTGTTTGCTTACAGGGCAATCAGACTATGCTCCGTATTTTTATGATAATGGACCCAGCAGTACACATGGGAATATGGCCTCGTTCAGCATCTCTGAGGATACACCAGTCGGTAAGTCTCGTTGTAGTAATTACCGATCTGGTTAATTTCAGTAAGGTATTATATTTTCAGGCGTATAGTTGTAAAGATGAAATTGTCACACTGGTATTGAGGCACCAGCTAATCACTGTAACACCTTTTGGATTGTGACGTACGTCAAGATTTATGAGATGAAAACAATTTGGGCGGTGGCTCATCAGGTGACTGGATTATTAAACGTTCGATTTACACCGAATGAAAAAAACAAGACTTGAAAGGCAGGACTCACATGGTTTTAATCAACACGGAAATGTCATGTTTTTCTTTGACTTTATTGTTTCTGTCATTTTCACCACAAAGGGACACAGATATACATTCTGAATGGTACAGATCCAGAGGGAGATCCAGTGCGATTTGGTCTGACTTTTGAAATGGGCTCCAAAGAATACTTTAGGGTGGACTCCAAATCAGGAGAGGTGACTCTGATTCAGGAGCTCGACAGAGAGGTGAGTCTGTCGATGGGACTCTTATTTTGACTGCTTTAAATTTGCCACCGCTGTGGCTCAAAGTGATGTTCGCCTTTTCTTTGTAGAAGCAAGCTGAAATCTCAGTGCTCGTGAGCATAACAGACGGTCGCAATAAAGTAAGTTTATATTGTTTTTGTGATATGTTTATGTTTACTCTATTGTCTTGAATTCACTGTATTAATCACATCATTGACACCACAATCTGCACGTGAAAGAAAAACAAAAATGATATATATGATATTTACACCTAGATAATACGAGTTGTGTCGTGAAATAAATACCAAATGTTGAGTTTTTGTTTGTGATAATTCATTTTATTTTTGCTTTCAGGTTGTTGAGACAGTTCGAGTGTTTGTCACTGATGCCAATGATGAACCGCCCGAATTTCAAAATCTGCCTTTCATCATTGACATCCCAGAGGTACAGTATCATCTAAATCCACCCAATATAATATGATAAATACAATACGACCTCTAAACAATTAGCAATGATTGAAAATGAAGTGTCTCTTGCCTCTTCTAGGATACTGCTCCGGGAAGTAGCATCTACAGAGTCCAAGCAGCTGATAGAGATATGGGCTCAGGAGGCAGCGTCTCATATTATTTACAGGTAACCCTATAGCTTCGTTGTTAATGATGCACAGTTGTGGCTCTCCAAAGCTTTGTCTCGGTGAAATTCTGTGCTAGATAGAAAAATGAAGCGTCTAAATTAGAACAAGGCTGTTCTGGTTTTTTTTGCCACTGAATTTCAGGAACACACTGGAGGCTCAGTGTTGAATTTTACGCAGTAAATCTTTATTTTGACTCAGGTGAAGAGAATTATCCAAATTTGCAATACACCCAGAACCAAATATTTCCTAAATGTAATTTATCATTTTAGTTTGTCTTGCTCAGACTGCTGCATCTATCTTTACTCGGGTATTGGGTGGAAAAACATCTCCAGGCTTTGATTTATTTTAGCCTCCTTGCACATGGCCCACAGTTGATTTCATTGTGATTGTAAAATGTTAGTAATCACATTTACTGTAGCTTAGCTCCAGCCTACATCTCCTGACCTCTTTACTTTTACACACTGTGATGCATCCTGAAGTCTACCAACAGGTTTATCCTCTTGGTTCCCAAATCCTTTCATTGATGTTTTTCTATTGTTTTTCTTTTTTAAAAAACAACAGGTGATTTATTATAACAACTGCACCATTATTGTCTACATGACGATGCCGTTAACTGACATGGTGTGGCCTTAACACTCGGGCGTGAGACCAGAGGTCGAGCTGACATCGTGAGAGCTGTGCTGCCATGTGGAAAGAGGAAAAGGGCATTCGAGTAATAGGACAGTGTGTGGACAGGAAAGATTAATCTCACACCAGAGAGCAGTCTGGAAATGGTTTTACTTTAGTGGATTAATTTTCAATTACATTTGAGTAAGGCACTGAAGGCTAAATAGGGGCTTAGGTTTGGTCCAGGCCAACAGCTGACAGCGCAGTAGTTGTTACT